TTGAACCACCGTCGCACTCCTTATTAGTTGTATCCATGTACTACTGTTGCAACTTGCAAGTGTGGAACAATGAAAGGAACAAGACTTTCGAAGTAGCAGATGACTCCCCAAACCTCATTTTCTCTCTCATGTCGAAAACCCTTCTCTCCCGCATCAAACCTCGTCACAACCCCAAACCCAGTTCTTCCCCTTCCTTCTCCTTCAAACCCCACATCAAGCGACTCGTCAACGAACTCTGTGACATCCTCAAAACCCACCACCACAATCAATGGCAAGACACCCTCGAAACCCACCTTTCCGAAGAAGAAATCGTCCCATCTGACATTGCCCATTTGGTGCTCGACAGAAAAAAAATTAAAGCCTGATCTCCCTTGTCTCTATCTAAAAAAAGCCCTAATCTGTGTCTCTCTATGTTGGCCCACCCCTCCCTCTTTCTGTGTTCTCTCTCTCAATCGGTGCCCACTCTCTCTAGCTCACCGAAGTCCCTTACCACCATTGCTCACGTCCGTCGCACATCGCCATCGACATCGCCCTCTGTCTAATGGACTCCTCATTTCTGGGCCGTGGAAGCAGGGTTGGAGGGTGAGATACGAAGGGAACGAGTGGGATTCGGAGACCTTGAAGGTTTTTGTGGTCCCTCATTCGCATAATGACCCGGGTTGGAAGCTCACTGTTGAGGAGTATTATGATCGACAGTCGAGGCATATTCTTGATACCATCGTCGAGGCTCTTTCGAAGGTGATATGGGTTTAATTTTGGGGTTTGAAATGTTGTTCCTTGATCTGAATTCAGTTGGGTTCTGTTTGTAAACTGAGTTTAATTAGTTAGTACTAGTTGCTTGATCTTAATTTTGTTGGGTTTTACTGATTTCAAAGGTGATCTGGGTTTAATTTTGGGTTTGAAATGTTCTTTATTGATCTGAATTCAGTTGGGTTCTGTTTGTAAACTGAGTTTAATTAGTTAGTACTAGTTGCTTGATCTTAATTTTGTTGGGTTTTACTGATTTCAAAGGTGATCTGGGTTTAATTTTGGGTTTGAAATGTTCTTTATTGATCTGAATTCAGTTGGGTTCTGTTTGTAAACTGAGTTTAATTAGTTAGTACTAGTTGCTTGATCTTAATTTTGTTGGGTTTTACTGATTTCAAAGGTGATCTGGGTTTAATTTTGGGTTTGAAATGTTCTTTATTGATCTGAATTCAGTTGGGTTCTGTTTGTAAACTGAGTTTAATTAGTTAGTACTAGTTGCTTGATCTTAATTTTGTTGGGTTTTACTGATTTCAAAGGTGATCTGGGTTTAATTTTGGGTTTGAAATGTTCTTTATTGATCTGAATTCAGTTGGGTTCTGTTTGTAAACTGAGTTTAATTAGTTAGTACTAGTTGCTTGATCTTAATTTTGTTGGGTTTTACTGATTTCAAAGGTGATCTGGGTTTAATTTTGGGTTTGAAATGTTCTTTATTGATCTGAATTCAGTTGGGTTCTGTTTGTAAACTGAGTTTAATTAGTTAGTACTAGTTGCTTGATCTTAATTTTGTTGGGTTTTACTGATTTCAAAGGTGATCTGGGTTTAATTTTGGGTTTGAAATGTTCTTTATTGATCTGAATTCAGTTGGGTTCTGTTTGTAAACTGAGTTTAATTAGTTAGTACTAGTTGCTTGATCTTAATTTTGTTGGGTTTTACTGATTTCAAAGGTGATCTGGGTTTAATTTTGGGTTTGAAATGTTCTTTATTGATCTGAATTCAGTTGGGTTCTGTTTGTAAACTGAGTTTAATTAGTTAGTACTAGTTGCTTGATCTTAATTTTGTTGGGTTTTACTGATTTCAAAGGTGATCTGGGTTTAATTTTGGGTTTGAAATGTTCTTTATTGATCTGAATTCAGTTGGGTTCTGTTTGTAAACTGAGTTTAATTAGTTAGTACTAGTTGCTTGATCTTAATTTTGTTGGGTTTTACTGATTTCAAAGGTGATCTGGGTTTAATTTTGGGTTTGAAATGTTCTTTATTGATCTGAATTCAGTTGGGTTCTGTTTGTAAACTGAGTTTAATTAGTTAGTACTAGTTGCTTGATCTTAATTTTGTTGGGTTTTACTGATTTCAAAGGTGATCTGGGTTTAATTTTGGGTTTGAAATGTTCTTTATTGATCTGAATTCAGTTGGGTTCTGTTTGTAAACTGAGTTTAATTAGTTAGTACTAGTTGCTTGATCTTAATTTTGTTGGGTTTTACTGATTTCAAAGGTGATCTGGGTTTAATTTTGGGTTTGAAATGTTCTTTATTGATCTGAATTCAGTTGGGTTCTGTTTGTAAACTGAGTTTAATTAGTTAGTACTAGTTGCTTGATCTTAATTTTGTTGGGTTTTACTGATTTCAAAGGTGATCTGGGTTTAATTTTGGGTTTGAAATGTTCTTTATTGATCTGAATTCAGTTGGGTTCTGTTTGTAAACTGAGTTTAATTAGTTAGTACTAGTTGCTTGATCTTAATTTTGTTGGGTTTTACTGATTTCAAAGGTGATCTGGGTTTAATTTTGGGTTTGAAATGTTCTTTATTGATCTGAATTCAGTTGGGTTCTGTTTGTAAACTGAGTTTAATTAGTTAGTACTAGTTGCTTGATCTTAATTTTGTTGGGTTTTACTGATTTCAAAGGTGATCTGGGTTTAATTTTGGGTTTGAAATGTTCTTTATTGATCTGAATTCAGTTGGGTTCTGTTTGTAAACTGAGTTTAATTAGTTAGTACTAGTTGCTTGATCTTAATTTTGTTGGGTTTTACTGATTTCAAAGGTGATCTGGGTTTAATTTTGGGTTTGAAATGTTCTTTATTGATCTGAATTCAGTTGGGTTCTGTTTGTAAACTGAGTTTAATTAGTTAGTACTAGTTGCTTGATCTTAATTTTGTTGGGTTTTACTGATTTCAAAGGTGATCTGGGTTTAATTTTGGGTTTGAAATGTTCTTTATTGATCTGAATTCAGTTGGGTTCTGTTTGTAAACTGAGTTTAATTAGTTAGTACTAGTTGCTTGATCTTAATTTTGTTGGGTTTTACTGATTTCAAAGGTGATCTGGGTTTAATTTTGGGTTTGAAATGTTCTTTATTGATCTGAATTCAGTTGGGTTCTGTTTGTAAACTGAGTTTAATTAGTTAGTACTAGTTGCTTGATCTTAATTTTGTTGGGTTTTACTGATTTCAAAGGTGATCTGGGTTTAATTTTGGGTTTGAAATGTTCTTTATTGATCTGAATTCAGTTGGGTTCTGTTTGTAAACTGAGTTTAATTAGTTAGTACTAGTTGCTTGATCTTAATTTTGTTGGGTTTTACTGATTTCAAAGGTGATCTGGGTTTAATTTTGGGTTTGAAATGTTCTTTATTGATCTGAATTCAGTTGGGTTCTGTTTGTAAACTGAGTTTAATTAGTTAGTACTAGTTGCTTGATCTTAATTTTGTTGGGTTTTACTGATTTCAAAGGTGATCTGGGTTTAATTTTGGGTTTGAAATGTTCTTTATTGATCTGAATTCAGTTGGGTTCTGTTTGTAAACTGAGTTTAATTAGTTAGTACTAGTTGCTTGATCTTAATTTTGTTGGGTTTTACTGATTTCAAAGGTGATCTGGGTTTAATTTTGGGTTTGAAATGTTCTTTATTGATCTGAATTCAGTTGGGTTCTGTTTGTAAACTGAGTTTAATTAGTTAGTACTAGTTGCTTGATCTTAATTTTGTTGGGTTTTACTGATTTCAAAGGTGATCTGGGTTTAATTTTGGGTTTGAAATGTTCTTTATTGATCTGAATTCAGTTGGGTTCTGTTTGTAAACTGAGTTTAATTAGTTAGTACTAGTTGCTTGATCTTAATTTTGTTGGGTTTTACTGATTTCAAAGGTGATCTGGGTTTAATTTTGGGTTTGAAATGTTCTTTATTGATCTGAATTCAGTTGGGTTCTGTTTGTAAACTGAGTTTAATTAGTTAGTACTAGTTGCTTGATCTTAATTTTGTTGGGTTTTACTGATTTCAAAGGTGATCTGGGTTTAATTTTGGGTTTGAAATGTTCTTTATTGATCTGAATTCAGTTGGGTTCTGTTTGTAAACTGAGTTTAATTAGTTAGTACTAGTTGCTTGATCTTAATTTTGTTGGGTTTTACTGTCCAATAACTGATTTTGGAACCTGATCATTTTGTTTTCTTTTGAGCCAAACTTGTCTCTTCATCCTGTGCTTAATTGAGTGGATGGAGACGTTGGCAGGATGTGCTGCATTGCACTATATAGTTTACCAACTTAATGCAATGCACATGAATCTTATAAGTTGCTTACTATTTGTAATGTTAATTCACTTGCCCCTCTCAGCTGCTGCATTCTAATTTGATGTGTTGATACTATTTTGTAGAGCGTGATGAGTTACATAAAGACATTGAACAGCTGTGTATGCAGCAAGCTGGTCTGGTTACCTTGCTGTGGCTACTCGAATGCATTTTCAGAGGTATATTATTTATCTCAGGTCCATCAGATGAAGTTTCTATCATTAATATGAGGCTCCTTACCTTTTTTCACTTTGTTATTTTTTATTTTTATAAGCGCTTGCATAGTCCTACTGCCAAGGTTTGAAAAAATTCATACAAGCACTCTAACTTTAAAAAAATATAGTGGAATTTTTAATCCGAGTTTATATGCTAGTACCATACAAGCACTCTAACTTTAAATCCTCCACACTTATGACACTATTGCCAACAGAAGAGTTTTACACGATCTTGTCCTATTCTCTTGTCTCAAATTCTATATCGTACCACACAATAAATATTTTTAACATGATTGTGTAGTGGAGAGTTGATCTAGTATAAAGAGGAAGAGATGATTTGGACATAGGATTGCCAATTGTTAAAGAAATGGTTTGCTACAATACCCTAACTCTGTTGTGTATGCACGATTTGAGTGTATATCAGGATCATGATCACCATATTAGCAATGTAGTTGTACCTACAATATGTGAGAAAGATACATATTGAAATGACATAGATCTGGATCATATTGTGTGATACATCTTCATATCTAGATGATACTGACGACCCTGGAAGACATCAATTTTCTGTAAGCTACATGATCACAAAATTCATATGTTCATCATCTTGATTTTTTACTCCCTCCTAATGCGACTATAACAGGGGTATATTAATATCCAAATGATTATTGTTGATTGTCAATTAAGTATGACTCACTTCATAAGGTCTCAATTTCCTTCTTTTCATTACAATTGGTTCTTGTAAAAGCCTGCTTGAAGTGGTTCTCCTGTATCTTGAATCTAACATTGGTATGATAGAGAGATTGAATTTTCTTATGTTGGCTAAACTGAGCAAGTATACTTTTGTTTGTTCTGTTGAATGGAGGACACATCTCTCGACTGAGATAAAATCTCACTTGTGCTTTCCAGGAAAATAGCGAATGGAATGATTGGCAAACTACTGTTTTACAGGAGCGTAATATTGTGGAAAATGTCTACAGATGCGCTTGAGGGTATGCTTATGATTGTGTTTTAATGCATAGTGTGATTAGGATGTCAGTGCACAGTACAGGATGATGCTTGTTGCTCTAATGAAACTCAGCCCATCTGGTTGCTACTTTCTGCATCCAAAATATTTGAGGTTCATTGCACTTTATCATAAAAGTAGCATAAGAGGGAAGGGGACATGGCTATTGGCAAGATTCAGTAGTAAAATTTTGATATCCCACATTACTAAACTAAAAAAATCCCCACCATCGTTGTATTTTCTGTGTTTGTTCCCTTTTGTAGCCTGCTCCCAATATTTGTTGGCCTGTTTTACTTCCTGATAATTATTTATTTTCTTTCTTTTTGATGTACAGGCGCCCAACTGCATTGCAAGATAGGACAAGGGATAGTGATGAGGATGATCTTCATGACAGAGATTTTGATGTAGCAGCTTTAGCAAATAATCTTAGCCAAGCATTTAGATACTCGATATATGATAATGAGGATGCTGAGGAGGTATTAGTGGACTCTATTGTATGTTTTTCTTACAATGCCTTTCTTTTTGTTGACAGACTCTTTAGATACTATAAATTTATCTTTGCCATTGGTTGCAGGGCAATGGGGCTCTTGATCGAGTTGATGAGGTAATAGTTTTTTCTTTTCTTTTTTTTTTCTCCACCCTTTCAAATCTATGGTCTTTTCTCCCTCTGATTCAATTGAAAAGAAACTGAAGGCTGGTTAATATGAATCTGCATTATTGAATTGGAGGCAGCATACTTTGCATAAGAACTCTTTCAGCTGTTTATTCTGTTTTATTTATTTTCTATGAAGGAAAAATTAGATTGCAATTGTTGTATTGTAATTACTTGAACAAATAATTTGTGTATCCATGTGCTTTCATATTGTTTCTAATTGCAGCTATGCATATGTTGATTACAGTCATGAAGAACTTTCTTATATTGAAGAGTTATAGTGAACAATAGGAACTGAAGGAATGAATTGAGTGGTTGCGAAGTGTTTTCATTGTAATTCAGTGAGCTCAAGAATCTCTGTGGTTCTTTCTTGAATAATGGGTTCAAGAATTCAGATCTGTTTGCTGGTTGTTTCTGTCCAAATTTTACTTGTAGCAGCACAAACGAATAATGACTGTAAGTTCCATTCTTATGCCTAAATTGTTAATAGTTATATTATTGTTGAATGATATCTGCATATGAGAGGCTCCAATATGTGTTCTTTCTTGCTTTGATTAATACAATCAAGAATACATCCCTGCTCATCAGTTAATGCATCCTCCAAAAACACAAAGTATATGCTAGTCCTGTTTATGGTTTCTTTCTAACACCTCATTTATTGTGGGGTTGATCGCTGATAAAGGAGAAGAAACAAAAATGAAATAAAAACAACATGACATGAATTCTGAACATACTGGAATGTCACAGTAGATTCCATGCGTGACTGATCTTAGGGTTCCAAAAGAGCACAGCATCTGTTGTCTTGTCTGAGTTTCACAAAGGAAAGCCTTACTCAAAATGGGACTGGGTTTGAATATAGGCTGAAACATGAGTTGAAGGGTCCTAGCTATGGTCTTCTCGATTCACCACTGCGAGATTTTAAATGCATGTCCCTGACTGGGTTATAAGAAGCCATTTATGTCTGGAGTTTTCTAATTTACCTGGGAATAATTTCCACAATGTAAGGATGTGAATCCCTTCCCACCTCTGGAATACATAGTTGCATTCCTACTATGTGTTAACTACTTTCCGAAACTAGAAATCTTAGGTCTTATTTAGTGCGCACACCTCTGGAATACATAGTGCGCACACAATTAAATTATGTTGAAAATCTGTAAACTTTTAAACCGCCAAACCAATTCGTATCTATCCGCCAATCCGCTCATCCGCTCAATCTGCATCCGCCGGATTGGCGGACGGATGCGGATTGATTTTCTCCAATCCGCCAATCTGGCGGATGGATGGCGGATTAGAGGTTCCGTGGCCGCAATCAATCCGCGCCCACCCCTAGCTAGTTGTCTCAATTCGATGTACATGTTTATAGGATTTAATTGATTTTTGCAAAGATACGGGTTTGCAATCCAGTGTTGCTACCACTATCATGCTTCTCTGATAAATTTTCCAATTCTGTTTCTTTATTAGGTGCCTTATATCACTACTGCTTTGATGGATGCGAAGCTTGGCACGGAAGGGCGCAAGGATCTTTTTGATTGGCTATCAAGGCAACTTAGTGGATTAAGCAATTTTCCTGATGCTGTAAATCTGAATTATGTATTGTTTCAATTTGTTATGCTAGATGGATGTGACTTGTGAATGAAAACTTAGAATAGTTGTATTGTGTCGAATGTTAATGAATTATGTATTGTGTCGAATGTTAATGATTCAGTTAATTTGAATGATGCTTTAAAATTATAGGCTTATTATGGATTGAATGAAATATTAGGAATTACAGGTGTATTGTTTTCTTGCTTTGGCGACCAATTTAGTAGTCGTGACAAATAAATTATTTTTTTTTGCAAAAAATAACAATTGCCGACCAAGAGTTTTGGTCGCAAAAAATACATCTATTGCCGACCAAAACAGCTCTGGGTCGTGGAAACTCACTTTTGCTGACCAAAAGTTTTGGTCGCGAAAATTAACAAATGGTGACCAAAACCTTTGTTGGTCGCGGAATGTCACGTTGGCGACCAAAATTTTTTGGTCCCGGAATGTCACGATTGGCGACCAAACTTTTTGGTCGTTGAATGTGATAATTGGCGACCAAACTTTTTGGTCGGGAAAATATCACTTTTCGCGACCAAAGTGTTTTGGCGACAAAATAAATTAGTCGCGGTAATTAAATATTTAGCAACCAAAAATTTAGTCGCGAAATCCAACTTTTGCCGACCAACCACAATTTTGGCCGCGAATTACTTTTGCCGACCCTCAATTGGCGACCAAAGTAGCGACCAAAAAAATTGGTCGCGGATAACTTTTGCCGACCAAAAATTGACTTTTAGCGACCAATTTTTTTGTTGCCAAAAGTGGTAATTCTTGTAGTGAAAGCACTTAAAGAGTGATCTAAGTGGAAGCATGGAAAAGATATAAGCTCTGAAATCACCTATTAAATGATGCCAAATCATGCAACCACTTCAAGCAAAGCATGCTAGAGGCCCCAAAACACAAGGCCAGTAAAGGCCATTACACCATGGCCATACAAGGCAAGCCTCCAAGGGCCAAGATCATTCCAAACAGAGTTTAAGCATGGTATAACATGCGCAAAAATGTGCTGGAATGGAGTCTACACATGCTAGGATAATAGGCTACAACATTAAGCATGTTAAGCTAGTGAACCAAAATTGCACTACAAGTGCAAGGAGCATGCAAGAGGCAACCAAACCAACACAAATCAGAGTTATGACATGCCAAATAATGGCCAAAAACATGCCTGAACTAAGCAAATTCAAAGCACAAAGACATGCTACTTTGCAAGGCTACATGTAGGATTACACTACAAGTATAAGAAGCATGCAAGTTGTGACCAAGATAACCAAAAATAGAGTTATGGCAGGTCTGAAAAGTTACAAAAATATGCTTGAACAAAGCCACAAAGAAGTAGAAATACATGCTCATTTGATAGGCCAGCAAGACAAGCAAGCAAGACAAGAGAAGAGGGGACCACCCACTTCTATTTGGGACCTCAAAACAGGGTTTTTACCACTAAAAATCCTCTGGATTTTAGTGGTCAAAAGGCCACAAAAAGTTGTTTTGAAAGGCCTTGAAAGATAGCTCAAAAGGCATTACAAACCAAGGAGCAAAAGGGAGAGACAACCCCCTAGCCAAGCAAGGCTTACACCATCATTTTTAGGATTGAAAAACAAAGATTTTCTCAGCTCAAAACCACCCGAAAAACTGTGTAGAAGGATGGCAAAACAATAGTGCACAAAGAGCTTAAAAGGGATAAGAGGTTACCTTTGAAGCACAGCACAAGAACAGCCCCTTTTCTTGAGCCAAAACCAACCTCTAGCAGCCCAAAGTAGGTTCCAAGGGATCTCAGCCAAATGGTTGTCAAGTTTGATCAAGGATGTGTGTGCAAAAGAGAAGTGCATCAACACTTGCAAGCTCTTATGCACAAAGGTTCTTGAGAGGGAGAAATGTAGAGAGAGAGGTGTAGAGAGAGAGAGGCTCCAAAAACTCTTCCAAAATGTTCTAACCCCTTGAATATGAGATATAAGGCTTCATTGTATAGCAAAAATGGAGCATTTGGTCGAAAATATCTCAAAAGAGACAGCTGGAGCAAGCTGGAGCAAAATATCTTTCCAAAACTGATCTTTTCATCAATGGCCGGCACCTTTACCATTGTTGGCCGACAGCACACTATTGTTGGCCGGTAGGGGTCACTCATGGCCGGCACTAGCCGTTCATGGCCGGCACAATCCCATAGAGGCGGGTAGCAAAAATCAGTCCTAGTCCCCGACTTGAAGCAAGCCTAACTCCTTCATCTAGATGCCTGTTCAAGTCATTCTTGTGTGCAAATTGAAGCCTCAAAAGCAAGCTTTCCAATGATAGGAAGCCTTACATCAAAATTCCAACTGTGCTAGGAGATATCCCTCTTTTAGTGAAGGCTGCTCAGTTTTGGTCTAACCGGAATGATGCCCAACTTCAACCAATCATATCTCCGCCATTCGGACTCGTCTTTAGGAGATTCTTGAGTGAAAAATGAAGCCCCAGAAGTCTTCTTTCCAACAGTGGTGGCCTCATACCTGAAATCTAAGTATTGAAAAGGATAGGCTTGATTTAGTGAGGGTTGCTCGACTCTCTCTTAACGGTTCATGCCCATTTTCTTCCCCAACTCGGCTTCTTCCCTCTTCTCCTCTTTTGTTCAACTTCAAACCCCTAAATCAGGTGTTTTGAAAGATTTTTCAAAGAGTTCACCTTTCTTTTATTCATCCCCACTTTGTCCTTGCTTGGTTTATCAAAAAACGCAACATTTAACAAAATGCGAGCGTCGGAACATCGTAGGAACTTTTTTTCAAAAGCTATTTTGAAAGAGAGGATTTTAAGGTCAAAAAACCATTCAAAATATTTTTGGTCCAAAAGGGGGTTGTAAGGTTGGGATTTGACTCTCACCTTGCCAAAGAAATTGAACCTTTGCCCTGCACATCTTTCACCACCAAGTAAACCATCAGCAGCGCCCAAGTCTTAAGGGCAGTCAAAAGTGGGGTGTCTACAGTTGCCCCTCTTTGATAGAGTTCAGAGTCATGAAATGACATGAGTGAATGTCAAAGCCCAGAGACGACCCATTTTTGACAAGGTCGAAGACTTGGACAAATAAACAAAATACAGATAAATAAATGATTGCGCCCGTAGGCCGCCTACGTATCACTTTGCAAGGAATCAAACCAGCGTAGTTCAGGGGCAAGACGCAAAACGACATGTAATATTACAAAATCAGTGTAAATGATATACAGGGCAATGAAACAATGCAAATGATATGCAATGTAATTAAGATAATCAAACCACAAAACAGTGCAAAACCACACAAATATCATAAAGGGATGGAGATGCAACATCAAACTACGTTTAACATAGAAAAGGTGCCGGAAACCTCAAACCACAACTCTCTTAGTGGGATAGGTGTGTGCACAGGCAGAACTATGTGTTTCACAGAAAGCATAGAAGTGATTAGGTGGCATGATGCAAGTGAGAAATGATCTGCTAGGGGAAGACCGTGATCCTTCATGCTGAATGCAACAAAACAAAATACGATGCAATGGATGCAATGGATGAAGTGAATAAGGCGCGCGGCCAAACAACATCTTGCCTAGAAAAGGCATGGACACAAAACAGACCACGTCTAACATAGAAAAGATGCCGACACCGTCAGACCACAATTTCCTTAGTGGAATAGGCGCGTACACATAATCACAGAACCATGCTTTAACACGAAAAGTATGGGCACATGCCAGACTAAGCTTAACATGGAAAGGATGCAGGCGATACAATGGATAATGCAGTAAATGCATGCGATAGATGCTATGTACAATGCAATGTAATAGCTAAAATGCAATGTAGCTGGGAAGTGAAAGTACCTTGCAGGGGCAATTGGTGATGACTCACCTCATGCTGCTGGGGATCTTTCGCTTCTTTTTGG